ATAGAAGCGAGCAATGAAAATAATATTCTATGAATTGTCTTACGACGAGGCTCTTAACATCGCTGGTATTTCCACTCTCGAAAACAGACGGGAGTATCTATCCAATAATCTCTTCAACGACATTGTTTTAAATGATGATCATAAACTTGCCAAACTTTTACCATCCAAAGCAGGCAATAGAGAATTACGGAAAGAAAGATCTTTTGAAGTTTTACCAGCAAATACAAATCGTTTCGGAAACTCTTTTATCAACTTTTATGCTAAGAAACATTACAAATTAGATGTTCCTTGAACATTTTAGAATTTTTAACTCATATAGATTAGTACATTCAAGTATATGATATATAGTATATATTAACAATTTTTAAATTGCATTGTAATATAGAATTTTTTACTATTTATAACCTTGTAACACTTAACGTCATGTAATTCAGTCTTCTGACTGCCAGATGATGTTTTTATTAAACAAACTATTCATTCATTCGATATATGCATGACGTTGGGCCAACATTGTTAAGTCCATTCAAATGGGCCTTGCCTGGCGCACACGAGAGAACTACTCAACAGCAACGTCGTTGATAAGGTCGTTTGTATTTCCCTCCATTATCGCCATTTTGACCAAAGTCGCGTGAAGAAACTATGGATTCTCATTGGGTTGTTAATTCAAGCAGCTCAGCACTAAACTCGCAACACGTTGAAATTTTTTCCTCGCGAGGTGAAAAATGCCAAACACGATAGATATTTTCCTCAACGCCTCGAGAGGTTAAATCCTCACGAAAACTATCCGCACACAAGAGAAACTTGCTGAACTGGCCGCCACGCGAGGCGGTTAGCTCAACATGTTTCTGTCGTGCGCGGAAGGTTTTACACAACCAAACATACATGGTTGTTTTTCGTATTTGTGCGACCACAAGTGTTCAACCTCGTACCCTATGGGTAAAGTCCTGGAAAGAGGTTGACGACCGTTATTTGCTTCGCGTATGAACATCAATGGTGTGGGGCAACTGTGACGAATCCTTGGAAGGAAAGCTACAGAAACTTCAAAACCGAGACATGTGATTCATATGAATACGCTCCAAAGATATTTTGGAACAATTAAATTGGAAAACGCTTGCGGAAAGAAGAAGCAACTAAAATATGTATCGAAGCTCTTGTATGCGAATGTCCTGAGAACATTTCGGATGTGTTTAAAATTTAACAAATATAAAACATTTTCCGTGTTGATATACAGTTATATCAACACGAGTGGAAATCGGGAAAACGACGCCCAAAGGGCAGAGTGTTTTCACACAATTTCGAGTTTTCCCAATTTCCACGAGTGTTGATATAACTGTATATCAATACGGAAAAAATGTTTTATATTTTTTTTATAATATAGCACAAAAAAAAACATAAAGAAATTTTCCGACGTTTCCGTGTTTACATTGAATTATATCAACACGGTTCTTAGCCAATCAGCGTTCAGAATTTACAAATGCTTTTTTATAAATCTAATTCTTAACGATACGAGTTAAGAAGTAATAACACACTGATGTTGTCGAAGCTTCAACGTGAAGCTCAATTGTGACATCACAACAATATCGCTGCGAACACATGTCATCTCTGCACAACACTCGATCCGATCACATTTTGCCAGATCAGTGATCACATCCCCATGCACGGCTGTCATGGACATGCAGAAAGTACGAGTACCTTGATTAAAATAAACATTCAGCCGAAAAATTCACTACATAAATTATTACTGTCAGATGAAAATACATTTCCATTCTATGAATGTGATTTACAATATTTGCATACTATCATATTATATTATATTCATTACTCTCCCCCAAATGTTCTTATCAAAAATGCTTTGAGTTCCTGTACTTGTTTTTGCGCATTAGGTATAATAAATCTCGCCCTTCGTTTCGCCTCGTCACCTGGTCCAGTTGATATCGTAAATGTTATAACGTCAGGACGTTTTTTCTTCGATGTTATTTTTAAAATATCCTTAAGATGATCACGTGATCTTATGGCCGCCCAGCCTTCTTTGGAAGTCATCTCACGTAGAACGAACATGAAGGAGTCGGTTATTAGAATATGGCTGAAATTTAAACAATGTGAATAGTCAGTTTATTGCAACTTTCATATGCATATAAAGTAACACAATCAAGCTTTAAGCGTTAATGATTCATAAATTTTCATGTTCTCTATAATTTCTACCCAAGAATTTTAAAACAAAATTGTGCATAACCTATAGTTTTAACAGCTTTTGAAATCTTTTGTAACTCAAGAAGAAATAATTATGAGTACTTGTAAAAACGATACAAGTACCTAAACGATACATATGAAACAGCCAGCTTTAGAATTTTGTAACGTCACGTGAGAATGAATTAAACGATCTGGAAACCGAACAAGAACCCAGACAAGAAGATATGATACTGTAACGAGCACAAGCAATTTGACTAAAAAATCCAAATTAAAATATAACATTTATAGAATTACCTTTCGTGCACACGCTTAGTTTTCATTGATATCTCCGTCGACGAAATAACTTGAACAACATCTTTTCTTTTTAACCATGTTTTAATATTTACAGTTTCGTATTTCATTTCATCTTCTGAACTTGACGCATTGAAATCATCTATTGACAAAATACATCAAAGTGTTTAAGATATGGAACCATAAGTCAATGATATTTCACGGTACAATGCAATATACTGTCCGTATATTTACTAATGATTATATATATTAATATCCCGAAGAACAATCTCTCTAAGATTGTTACAATGACATTGTAACAATCTTATGATGGGACTAGTTGTCAAATAGAAATCCATTTCCATCCTGATTAACATGTTCAAAGTTTAAATTTGCTTCATATAAAGGAAAAAGAACAGAACAAAATGGATTTCTGTTCTATTGTTAGTAGAGGTGTGCAAATCCGATCCGAATCCGATCGGATTTCGGAACAAAAATATTCATTTCGGATTGGGATAAAGTTGTTTCGTAGTCAGATAGGACTTCGATATTCGAAATAAAATGAATTAATTATATATAATAACTATTATTTGGTTAAATATTTCCACTTGAATGAGAAATTTATTTTATTAAAGGATTCTTCGGATCGGATCGGAATTCTTTATCAAAACTCGGACCGGATTCGGATTAGACAATTTCGGATCGGATTGGATTTTAAACATTAGCCAATTGTCGGATTATAAACGTCCAATCCGATCCGATGCACACGTCTAATTGTTAGGTCCCCGCCTGCAGGTCTGCTGGCGAGAAAAGTGCGGTCATTGGGAGAGCCAAGCTTCATTAAACGAATGGTTATAGTTGAACAACCACATGGACAGCTCTAAACCGACAAATAGTGATCGAATATATAACATGCTGTTTGTATCCTGAGTTTATTTTATAAGGTACAATTTCGTTCATAGCTGACACCAAAAGACCACGCACTTGTGGCATGATATAAAATTTCTCCACGAGCTGCTTAGGAAAGAGCTATAGAGATACATGAAGTACAATCATACCTGCGTCATCGTCGTCATCTTCGATACTAAATACAGGTTTAGTTTCTCGATATCTTTTACCCATTTTATCATTACTGCTTACATGCCTAGAAATAACAAAGAATTATCTTAATTTATCTCAAAATGTTAAGCACGCGCTGTGTGTCAACGAATAACAATACACATGCAGGTGGTTAATTGAGAGGCGTCTACGAATCATGGAAGCACTAATGCCTTGCACGTGTTTATATCCGTTGCCAATGGTTGCCACCCAACCACGTATAATTGCGTGCTGCACTTTATACTCACATTAGTGCAGTGAACTCTATATATATATATATCTGGAACGATAACAGCGAGCGAAAAGTGAAGCCGACAGAAAAATCACGACATAAAGTATTCGTCATTGTCTTCGTCATCAACTGTTCAAGAACTTTCTTCAGTATTAAAAATCACTTACATATAAAATTTGTAATTGTTTTGAAAGTTTTTTATCACAGTTTTTATATCTTTATTCACTTTTATAAACCTGAAGATGGAGTTATACTCCGAAACGTACTAAGCCCATATGGTCTAATTTATATTCAAACACACGTACATATCATTTACATTTTGCTGGCAGGCAAATTCCGATCACACAATTTAAAATTCTTTAAAAAATAACGTACCAGTGTATTGACTAAAAACTATAAAACTGGTAAATTAAAAAACAATTCAAACAATCGCGAAAAATGGCAACGGCAAAGTCACAGTTGCAAGTCAATTTACCTACCTGTGAAATGAAATTTTCTCGCAAGAATATCTCTTTCCTTGTGCATCCAGAACGACAGTACGACACAATATATTTGAAAAAGTGATTCTTTTCTCCACACGGGGAAGTTTTCCTCGACTTTTTTCCGACAGCGAACTCAATGCAGGAAATTTTAGGAGCAAAACAGTTTGCTCCTAAAATGTATTGCAGGTTGAGTTGGCCATGTTTTTAATTTTTTTTTCGTGATTGCGTTCAAATTTATACTGGCCGTGCAACGGTTTGCAAGAGAGGGAATGAAACTGACGTCCAATCCGCGTAAACCTGACGTTTGAGGGACTGAGACTGACGTCCAATCCGCGTGAAAGACTGGTATGGAGGCTTCATTGTTTTCACAATCAAATGACTGAATGTTATCATTCCAGATATATATATATATAGAGTTCACTGCATTAGTGTCATTGGTAACTAAGCAGAAGATCCACAATAGCTTTTGCGTGGCGCATCTTTTTTAGGAACAGGGAACCGGGATGAAAGGAAGAAAAAATGCGCGATCAGTCCGGGATTTCAAGAAATCTACGAACATCGTGCGGGATAGTAAGAAAATCTCAAAAAATGGAATTTGGGATTTAAGGATCCTATTGTGAAACTCCAGGAGTTATGACAGCAACGGACATAAACGTGCGTTAACTGATAAGGTCTTTTTATTTTTGAAAATTTTAAGTGTGTGAGAAAACATTATATATTCTTGAAGAGCTTACTTTACTTCATCCCGGGGCTCAGACATCCATGTAGAGAACTTCTGAGTAACATTTGTTTTACTTGTACGTATAGCTGAAGATAACATGCCCACTAAACCTGCCTAAAATAACACAACAAATTTGAATTTAAACTTTAAAAAAACGAATCACTATACAAATAACTATTCCTACACTGCAGGCTAAAGGCAACAACTTTGTAGAAAACTTTGCATTTTCCTGTAGAAGCAGCGTGTTTCATTTAGATCTTTCTACTCTCCTGATGAAGGGTCTTTGCTTGAAAAGTCGTGAAGTATAGTACATCTTTTTCTGCCTAGATTTTTCTGCCCACTCAGGCTTTCTAGAAATTTTCCATATATGCATGTTTATATTCAACGCCGTATCCAACGCTGAACCCCATAGCTTCAGATTTATGCATGCATGCAATACAATTGCTGGCTTGGTCTGCCTACATGGTTTCACAATCATATAAAACTCGTCGAGTACGTGGATTAGATATAACGAGTTGAGTGTACAGTGCCGGAACTGGTGGGGGGTGTAACACCCCACAAAGAAAAGGAAAAAAAGACGGCTCAACTTGCCCAGAGGGGGCCCCGGAATGCTGGAATTGCGGAACGTGTTAAATATTAAGGAATTTTCTGAAAAATTGAGGTCGAAAAAGTCTGAAAAAGTATTTTTAAGCCCCCATTTTTTAACCGTCGACCTTTCCCTCCCCGTCGCTAATCGGAAATTTTTTTTGAGGGGGCCCTCGAAAGGAAGAGGCCCCAAATTTTCGAATTCCCCCCCCCCCCCTCCCCCAACCAGATACCGCTCGGGACGGCCCTGTGAGTGTATGTATGCAAATAACTGCATACAGGGTAATTCTGAGTGCAACCTAATAGCTTAGTCGTCAGAATATTGGTACGGTGACTTTGGGTTCGATTCTCGATTGGGACATTCATAATTTATTATAATAATTATATTCATTCAATATCCGATTTTATAACCAAAGGTTAAATTACTCAGTTAATTTTCCAGCGAAGTGACAGGACTACAAGGCCACAAGTTACATTTCTACACTGCTGAAGGTAACAAGCATTACTATAAAGAAAAATTTATGACTTACTCCAGGGCTCTGATCTCCTTTTCTGTTCATGTCTGTCCGGGTCTAAAAATGAAGTAGTTAAGAATCAATAGATGGCAAACTTGTGCTGAACATCGATCATACAAAGAAACGGCGAAATCAAGGACGTCATCATTCCACTCATCAAATGTGTTGGAATGAATTTTCACTAATAAAGTATTATGCCGACATACACTATAGCGTAAGCACTAAGAATCAGGTCAGCTGGCGAAACAGAATCGAAACAATTCTCGATCTTTGCGGGTCTGCATGGCAATACGATAAAATTATTATTTTCGTAAAAAACACCAAGTTTATTTCTTTCGCAAAGCTTTGGATTTATCATGGCGGGGATATTCTTCAATGCAAATGATATAATTTGCAAATCAATATTATATTAACATTGAATACGACATCAATCAACACGACACTAGTGCCACTATGACTATTACAGTCACGACGCCACTAATTACAGTTATTATTCTAATCTAAGTTTTGCCGGCTGTTGCAAGATAGAACTTAGCCAACCAATGGTACCTCATCCATCCCAATCGAGACAAGTCACCCGTGTGACTTGGACTAAACAAGTGCCAACGAAAGATGATGGTTGAAGCAGGGACAAGAGGATGATTTGTGAAAAACCTCTTCCAACTGGTTCTGGAACTTTGGAAGAGGCATGAAGGAAAGAAGTTCTGAGGGAGCAAAGTCACCAGCAAAGTAGGAGCTTGGAAGAAAGGTTGGCAAAATCGGTCGACCACAAAGGGTGAGACGTATGAACGGGAAGCTCGAGGTGCTTGATCGCAAACGCCTCGTTACTAACTGCTCATTATATATTCACATTATTTTTATCACAGGAACAATTTACCAAGTATACAGATATTACACACACACACAATAAACAATATACATATTACACATATAGTGTGAAATTATAAAATCATCGTTATGGACGATGGCACCATTATCATTGACCATTCCTTATATCAACATTTAAAAAGTCAAAAAGGTCATAGAGCAGACAGTGGCGTAGCATCGTATAACGACCTCGAATGTCAACCTTTAATATCTAAACTTTATTTAAACTCGATAACACCATAGAGCAAAATATCCCTCTTTTCAATGAAATATATACAATTTGTCAACTGCTCCAATACTCCTAAAAACTTGTACTATTATGATAATGTAAATTAAACGATTAATATCAGTTATACAAAAACACTCATTTGCAGTTTGTTGACAAATATAATCATATTAACTTCTATCCATGTCATTAGGTTTCAACACAGTAGAGAAATGAATCAAGTGACTATATCTAACAGTGTGGGCATTGCAAATTTGAAGAGTTCAAGCTACATTAGCCATTAGGTTTTTGTACAGTTTTAGGCTTTCTACTGAACAATACATTTTGCTGGTTGTTACGCCGTTTGTGACGGCGCGTACTGAAACAAAGATTAATGGTTATAGCGCTGTAGTTCGGTGAAAATTTTATATGGTATGTGAAATTTAAAATCGTCTAAAATAAGATTACTTAACTATTCCAAATGAATTGGTATTTTGTACTATCTGGCACTCTATGTCACAAAATCGCACCGGCATGGAAAATCTTGATCTTTGCACAATGATGCATATATTGTACTGAAATTAAATACAAGTGAAACAAAACACAGCCTTCCAGGAAATACGCATTAGAAAATACATGAACGTGCAAAGGAATAAAAGCTAACCAACTGGTGAACGTGGTAAAATAATAGCAACACAACCACTATTTCATACTCCTTACACTCAGCTTCTATAAGTATATACTTGATTTACCACGTCACATATAAACATCTCTCGTGTTGGCGACCAAACATTTCAACTACGTTATAAACGTGCGTCTTCTCAAAACTACCCCGCATGGGATTTCGTAGACACACATACATATGTATACTGCGAGTAATAATTTCAAATAGTTGCCGTAAGCCAGCGGTTAAATAAATTGGAGACGGTAGCTGCTGCACGTCAGTGACGCATTGGGAATTTCAGTAAGCGTCGGAAGAAATATAATTTGCCAGGTTTTTGTAGTGTTTAATAACAGCGTATCAAACATACAATGAAAATTTTCAAACTTGATCAATAAAAACAAAGAAATGTTTCATACTTACACTTCTAACCACTGTATACATAACACGTCTTTCAATTCTAATTCTTCCGGTTTGTAATGTACGGAGAAAATGCGGTAAAATGGTTGTGCGCATGCGCCAGTTGCCCTACTCTTTTATTTTATCTATTCACTTTAATAACAAGCATAACCAGGGCCTTTCAGAGAGGGGGGCAAAGGGGGCAATTTGTCCCGGGCCCCCAGTTTAAGGGAGCCCCAAAATTAAAAAAATAATTTGGAACGTTTTTTCATATAAATAATGGTACGAGAAAAAATTTCTAAACCTACATTTTACAGATGTTGGTAGAAAAGGGTTTTATCCATGTTTTAACAGGAATTTGTCCGGGAAAATTTTTTTTATCCCTAATTTAACTGCTGTTTGTCCGGAAAATTTTTTTGACTATTTTTTAATGTCCGGAAAAAAATTGTTAACCCCCCCCCCCCAATATTTTTGGGAAAAATAGGGGCCCCAAAATTAAAATTTGCCCCGGGTCCCCGAATTTCGCTGAAAGGCCATGAGCATAACTACTCACAACATATATACCAAATAATGTATGTGTATAGTTTACGCACAATTGTACGTTCACTTCGAATAAATTAAATAATATTTTCCGAAAATTAATGTACGCAATTAATTAAACCCAAAACAACATACTGTGTGACTCTATACGATTCAGCATACCCTCAGCGCTTCATTGGAAACACAAACGCAACATCTGAAATTCCCAAATGTATTGTAAGACCCAACATTTCCACTCATGAAAGAGTCTGAAGTTGATTAACATTTTAAACCTAACAATTGACTTGAACAAACCTCATTCTCTGGCGTTGATGCATGAGGAGAACACGCAATGCACGAGGAGAGCACGTGATCAGCTAGACTATTTGCAAGATCATCGATTAACATATCATGAAGAACTATTAACGACAATACAAAACATCATAAACTAAATTGAAAGACTAATTAATATAACCAATCAATGCCAACAGTGCAAGCCAAAATGTTCCGTAGCTGGGATCGTCATTTCCACGAAAATTACCAGCTAAACACATAAAAACGCACAAGTTGTAGCAGACTTGTACCAATAAGTTGAAAGTAACAACCTTGTATGACAAACTTGATGAATGACAACATTGCTACAGCGTGTTGATTTGCTACAAGCCTGTTCCGAATACATCTTGTTGAAAATGATATTAGTTAAATATTAGTATTGGTTAAAGTATTGGTTAAATTGATTTAATTTCTGACTCTGGTTTATGCAGTGTTGACGGACAGGGATAATCACTATCCTAGCCGGGGCGGAGAACGATGCAGTAGGCTAAAGTGGTAAATTGATCTTGAATATTATGTGTTTGATTATTGGTGTTTCCACACAAAGAAAATGAATGGTAAAATAGAGGTTGATGAGATTAACAGGTTGGGGATAGGGTTTGATTGGGGAAGTATAAGAGAAATATGTTTCCAGATTTACCATGTTTCCCTTAACTTAAAACGTAATCGCAAATTCTACAACGGAATTAATCATAACTGGCAGAAGTCTCCAAAATAAATACGTAATTTGAGTGATGTTTTGAGAAACCTTCAGCAATGGTCTACAAGGCCTTACTCCATACCTTTGTATCCACCTTTAGCCAAACTTATATATTTAGTCTTTTTCTAAAACACAAATTATAAATGCGTATTAGCCAGGCAATAGTACTTCACCAGTACCAGCACATGAACTGCAGTTGCATATAATGATGCAAAGATTCCTGCAAAGTAAAGTTTAATCCACGGTAAAGCATCACACAGGATTTATGGTTTAAATTTGATTTGTTTGTACATAATTTAGACATAATATGTTTATTTACATTTTTATAGTTTTCTGTTGATACCCTTTTTCACTTTCTTTCGACATCTTTCCTAATCCTACTAACATCATCACGAATTTTTGACAATTCTCTTACACCGCAACGAGCATTTTTTAAATCCCAGTTTGATTGAGTTTATCAAGATTTTGGGCATTTGGTTCGACAGAACTGGATGCGACCTCGTACCCAGGCTCTTTCCTATATGCTCATGGGAACGAGGTTGAGCTGGATGTATAGATGGGAATTTTGTAGATAGAATTTTCAAACGAAAATTTCTATACAATTTTAGATCTAACCGAGAATAGCCGCGAAAAAATGTAACTATAGGCCATCCAGCTTGAACCTTCTGTCATGTGATAATGCGATTCCGGTGCAGCGCTCTAACCACTGATCCCACTCTGTAGTGAAATACACGTTGAGGAAGAGTATGGATATTTACTTGTAAAAAATTGGCCACAACCATATTGACATATTGATCTTCCTCTTCCCTTCCTGATCCCATGAAACATAGATGTTCTCCCCCAGCTGCTGAATCTGCAGCAACTGACTGTCTTTGTGTCGAAAATAATGCTTGCACTGTTGTGGAGAAGTCTGACGGTGCTTGCAGCATCTAGTCGGATATATTAAAACTATGAGTGAAGGTGAAGTAATACGAACAACAAAATTGCTGCAAAAATAATGGACCTAGTAATAATGTTTACTTAATGTTATCTCAGAGCAGCAAATTACGTATGAACATTTTGTCGCAAGTTGTGACAGTTTTGCTTCTAGCATCACTGTTGTGATTTCTCTTGATTCTCTTTTGAGGAAAATTATCCCGAACCGGTAAAAATTCCTGACGGTCCTGCCTCTAAGAAAAGGGAGTAAATACCAACCTAAATGATTCGCTTCATAAGACAATTAAGGTGATCAGTGTTTATGACTCGTGCTAGGTTGTTGGCGACCCAGAAAAGGTCGTAAAACTATCATATGTATAATCTTAAGATAAATATTAATGCCCAGCAGAAAATACGTAAAAGAGTCAACAAAAATATAGTTTGAAAATATTTATTAGAAAGCGAACGTTTCGTCTTTAACTTAAGACATCTTCAGAGCAATGACATACAAAGCGGAAAACACAGAAATATGAATAAATTATGTATCATATTATTACTGCAACATAGCACTCACTAGATTAGCATCAAGATGAAAAGCGGTTGGTAGATGTCCACTGTTATATTGTTCTGCAGGTCGACAATCCACGACAAAATACCGAATTTCATCACTCTGAATGGTTAACAAAACATATGGGAGCAATCGTAATTAATATCATCATACCATACAAGGTTTAGAAACTTAATAGAAGTGCAGTGTAAGTGAAATCTTACTATAAGTAATTATGTGAGTTTTTCGAAGCTTGCATGTATTCTGTTCACTATGGAATAATATATCCAAACTAGCCCCCAAATAATTTCAGAATTTCTGAACGATAGCTTAAAGTTGTAAAGTTGTTACAACAATTTTTCAACCATGAAAGCACTGCTAGGTTATAAATTATGTATAATAATGTATTTCATGACATTTACGGCAAAAATTTAAAGAAACTAAGATTTCCAGCGACAAAAGGTGGTAACGTTGTATTATGTTATGATGATATGATATATATTTGCAACCGAATTCGCCCATATGTCCGCCACTGACAACAAGAGGACAATAAATACCTTATTCTTGTGAGATTGTAGCAGTTCATCAATTGATACTGGCAAACATAACGCTTGAGAAACATTGTGAGCGTTCAATGTCTTAACACCGAACAACTGACCATAATATTGCTGGTGGAAAGATGAAAATAAATACCTTGTGGGTGAATCGACATATACGTACAACCAAGTTACTGTTAGTATAAGTTCCAAAATAAATTAATACTGTATATGACGCTCTGTATATCCAGCACATGTTGTGATAAGATAATCAACACTAATCTATTTTGAAATCCGTTATTGTGAAACTCATTAATAATTCATGACGAAAACACAAAAGCAATCATGACCGTGAAGGAGTTTGTATATCTGATACAAAATCATGCTGATTTACATAAACTTTAAGTTCAATTTTCTCACCAAATATCAATCATTTATTTTAAAGTGCCTATGACAACGAAATTTCACCCCAAAGGTTTATGGTTGTATTGTAAAGATCACTTAAAATGACTTCCATTAAGTCATTTTAAGTGATCTTTACAATACAAGAGAAGTAATAGTTTTTTTGACGAATACGTATCTAGAAAACTTTAAAATTGCCATTGTATATGTATTAATTTCATAACTGGTAATTAACCCTCTGTATTTGTTTGTAAACATATTTTATCAAGGTAAAATATTGCGTTTTCAAAATGTCATTATGCGATGTGATGTCACACCGGTGATATTTGCATATGAAACAAAGTTGAATATCTTGCAAAGGAAGCAAGTTACCAAAATTCTATAAAAGAAATTATTAAGTCATTTTAAGTGATCTTTACAATGCAATCATAAACATTTGGGGTGAAATTTGGTGTCATAGGCACTTTAAATTGTTGAAGAATAATACGAATGTTCTCATCAAAACCTTTCACAAGCCTTCGACTCGAGTTTGTATATTCGATACAACACGCTCATGTCGTCAATAGTACTGCTTGTTTTGATTTTACACATCCCACGAAAAAGAGACTATATAAATGTACGGAAATAACCGTAAAATCAATTTTGAAAATACTGTATGCAAAATCGTACCTTCCTAAATGACTGCGGTGTTTTTGATGAATAATATTGTGCTAACGAACAGAAATCTTCGATATCATCTGCCGCTAGTTGTGATGGAAATTCCGATATGATGTCTAAAATATGACAAAAAAGTATCAAGATGAATGAACGACTGTCACAGTCATTTCTACCTCAATTTGTCGGTGGCTTCAGGCCCTATATGCTTAGCGTCATAAGCTGTACAAAGGAAGGTCCAAAGGGCAAAGAGTAGAAACACTTGCCTAAAATATCGGACTTCTCTTGTCCAGGTGTCGTTATGTCTTCCCTAAAAATACGTAGCAATAATGATGTTAATAACATTTCATAACATAGGTAGAAATGGATATAAATTGCTTAAAGAAGGACAATTACTGAAAGTCCCTAACGGGTTTCAGTGAATAATCAAACGATCAAAACATCCACAAAAGGGAAGAGCATGGAAACGAGATTTGATATCAAACTAAGGCACAATAGCTCTGAGCTATGAGATTGACTAAGACAGAGCGAATGTAGCACTTTTACTGTGCGATACTAAGTAGTTTTATCCTCTCCTCTTCATAGACTGATTCTCAGATTTTGCTCTGGGAGGGGTGTCGGAAATTCTGGGCGAGGTGAGCGAGGGAGTGCAAATTTCTCTAGGTGGGACTGGAAAACTTTCTGAGGGGGTGTAAAACATTTTTTGCGGGGTGCGCACCCCCTTCCCCACAGAAAGTTCGTCTATGCTCCCCTTCACTAGAAAACCTCTGAAAACATACTTAGGCATGTTTCACTGTAATTAATTGAAACAATAAAACCAATTTCAACCTTGCGTTAATAATCATAACAAGTGCGAGAAAAAATACTAAGAATGGATCTTCTTCCAGCAGGTAAACATCCCACATCGCTTCCACAACACTTGATTCACAAGTTGCCGCAAACAGACTTCGAAACTTTGAAGATAAATACAAACAAAATATATATTACCGCGGGTGTCCCCCACAAAAATTACGTTGTTTGATGTAACGTGAAAACTAGAATAGCTATTTCATTCAAATAAGTTTTAAAAAGGCATAATTTTGAATTTAGAAAGGCCTAATTTTGATTTTATTGCAGTATTGACTGAGCTATTAATTAATGTATTTTTGACAATGCGAAAAATTAGCATAAAATGGCGTATTGGTAACCAAAAACAATTCGGTTAAACTTGATAGTTTTATTGTACATGTACACTGACATAATCGTTTCAATGATCAATATGTTTTAAACAGAAAACGCCTGTCTTCCAGCATGAATACACCGGAATATTGGATAATTCATTTATCTAATGTTATGCATGCACTAAACAATTGACCTTAGAAGTCCTTACGTCACGTCACTGTCAAACAGTAAATATTTGACCCACATGTATCCCACATTGCATTGCGTATACCTAATGTTTAGATGGATTGGAACTAAATGTTTAGATGGATTGGAACTAAATGTTTAGATGGATTGGAAATTGCGTGACGTATAAGCACTTCTAGGGTCAATTGCCTCACGATGTTGTCCGAAATTTTTTGACTGTTGGTCGTGCAGGACATTTCAATTTTTTTGAGTAACACAAATCAACATAATTTAATATAATATACCAGTAATCAGTATAGACTAACCCATTTCTGAGCATATTGATCTGGAAACAATTTCATCGAGTCCAATAATGAACATAATTCAGGATCATGATATTGCAGTAATAAACGGAAAAGATGAAATGGTTTTCCTTCATTATGACATTCCCTGACAAACACAATAGAAAATATCTTAAATGTTGAGTTCCAATGTAAGCAGCATTGAACAATGTCATGTATAGTTGGTTGAAAGATGTCACTATCTGAAAAATTTCAAAAATATTGGAAAAATCTTCGATGATGCTAGTGAAGGTCCTATCGTCTGCAATAAACTTACAGCTAAACGCATATCCCTTACAAAAAGTCGATAGGCCAGCCTATAGGCCAGCCTATAGGCCAGCCTATAGGCCAGCCTATAGGTTCCTATAGGAAACCTATAGGTTTTTATAGGCAATTGGAACATTTTCTATAGGTTATCTATGGGGATGCCTATAAGCCTATAGAGCTCTATAGATGCCTAAAGGCTTCTATTACAGGGTGCGATAATTCGCGTACTTACGTACCGGACTAGCGGAGGTACGCCAATATTACGCTCTGGTACTTCTTTGTTTTCAGTCTAGTACTTCTGTGTTTCGCGGAACTCTTGCTATCTGCGTACTTACTTTTTGCTGGTATCACATAACCTTTCCAAGCCCAAGGTATTCAATATCGTATTTTAGTTGGTGTATCATGTGTCTGAGATGTCTTGGCATGAAACATGATTGGACTGATGGCACTAAGAAACGTTGGAGTCGATTGTTTGTTGCAATTGTGCTTCTTTTTCTACCTCTGAACATACTTTTCGTCAGAAACCTGTACTTTATGAACATTATTTTAAAGACTAAGTACACATTGAGTACTGAGTTTGTACTAGCGCAAGTACGCCGCAATACGACTAAAAATCTTGAATTATCGCACCCTGCTTCTATAGGGAAGAGGAACATTTCCTATAGGCACTATAGGCTACCAAGTGTGATGCAAATAATTTACAAGACAATAAAAATATTAGGTTATAAGGCTATATACAAATTTGAGTTAGCAAATACGAACTGACATTACATTTACACGACAACATTCAGGACAGACAAGTTTACAGCTCCAGCATTGTCACCTTCAAATACAAGGTTTAGTCTTTCAAGATGCTTTAAGTTTCTTTTTGAAACTACAACTATAACAAGTGAACAATGAGCGGATCCAAGTTGAAATGGATTACACAACAGTTGATTTGGCTATACAGTATGTGTGTTGCAAATTAAAGCAAGGTATTACCTTGGAATATATTTTGAATGCATTGCATAAAATAAATTATAAACGTCTCCAGTGGGCAGACCTAGGGATACAAATGGCAGCAGCATCTCTACCCATCCGTTTTGTGATCTGTATCTTTCATTTCTTGTCTTGCAGTAGAATGTTATTATTTTCTCCATGTCCTCAACGACACTGTCAATCTCACAATCATCCAGAATTACTTTGCCTAAAATTGAAACACCATAAACATAGTACAGAAAATCATGGAACATGTGATTCACATGTTACTACCTTTTGTAGGATGAAAAGCAATTTATATAACTGCAATATTGACTTGTACATGTATGTTGAGTTCTATTCAAACACCAGAAAGGCCAAGCACTAGGCCTCTTTCATCATCAAAAGGGCTTCAGCCGCCATTTCGTAAATTGCTTAGGTGTATGATTATTCAGTGTGTTATTAGGGAGTTTAAGCTTCACGTTTCTGGGAACAGCAAACGGCAGGTTCGAACTTTCTTGGCAAAAATGTTCGTTGAACGTTTTCGTTTCATATTTTCTTTCTTGCATCGAAAGAATAATTATGTATTTCAGTTTTAAAACAGCAAGTTCACTTACTCTTTATTGCTTGATACTGTAAAATTTTTCTTTGCCTGGGGTTTGCCGTTTGACGTATAACGCGAAGCTTAAACTCTCTACTAGCTATCACCTCAATGCCAAACAATCAGCATGGAGAATTGTCAATAATCACCTAGTATGTAATTATACTACTTAAGGTCCAGGCAATTCTTTTCAGGTTAAAAATGATGTAATATGGTTTATAAAGTACAAGAAAATCATACTAACCGCTATTTAACATTGAATGATTTGGCCTGAATCTAATGTATTAACCAATCTCTGGATATAACCAGACGGATATTTTTAACTATATCTAGTATATGGCCAGATAGTAAAATTTTCTATCCACTGCACCCCTATGCACCTTTACCCTTTAATACCGGGTGGCGCAAAAAAAAGTATAACTGTTTGATTTAGTACAGCGAACAATCTTTAAGGGTTACATCCCTGAAATAAACGTAGCTGTATTTATAATAGTCTAACTTAAATTTTGAGCTATAGCATGTTTATTTACGTGCAATATTGACTGGGATATCGCCAAATAAAATTTGGAACGAAGTTTTGAAAATCTGACAAATTGGCTAAAAATGGCCTATTAAACTGTTTTGATAAATTTTAGAATTTCGTCAGACATATTCGCTTATATGAATTTAATTTGAATTGAAACGTGTAACGAATGATTTTCCTTATTTATTTATTTGTTTTATTATCATTTGAAAAGCAACAAAATTTCGAAAAAGATGGCTCTTTTAATTAAGAATTGCTTCGCAGTATTCCATGTCCCATAGCTACAGGGAATTAAATTAGATCAACAACCGAACAATTTGAGACAGCTTCGTGAAGCGATTATTGCGGATTGCCATAACTTTGACCAGCAAATAAATCCAACGTTAATTCGTTCGATAGTATGGTCACACGTGCAAGAATATAGTTATTTAATTTTCCATGATAAACGCGTTATTTACTGCCGTTGTGTTCTTTATATATCGTTAATTCCTTTACTCGTATTTAATAGGCTATTTTCAGCTAATTTTGGAACGTTTTGAAATTGCATATTCAAATTGATTTACCAATATCTTGGGTAATACTAAACAAAAATGCATGTGTTATACATCAAAATTTAAGTTAGGCCTTCCTGTATAGGATAACATTTATTTGAGGAACGTAACACTTATAGTTTTTTCGCTGTACTAAATCAAACGCGTGAACTTTTTTTTGCGCCACCCGGTAGTTTAACTTACCTGTATATGTCTGACAATCTTTCTTTATAATCTGTTGATCTGGAGTGTCTAGTTTTTCATCCCATTGCTGAAGTGGATTTGGCTTATCACTTACATTTAAACACACCTACAGTGTATAAATGAAATGGTTGGTTTTCAGTGTAGGTACTTGTATATATACTATCATGGCTGTGAAGTTGGGATCACACATTTCCCTTGTGTTAAAAGCAAGCTAGCTACTGAATTAAGGAATTAGAGATGAAATGAATGTGAACATATTCATAAACATAATATTTTGCAAAAATGCGGCAGTTAATGTACCATAAAATGCAGGACTGTGATTTTGGTGAAGCACACTGACCTCTCTGAGCTAAAGAGTCCAGCACTGGTGCATGCATGGTCATGTTATGAAAATTTTAATTATTCAAACTTTAGAAATGCATTATCTCATGCAATGCACATTTATTTCCATAGCAATGAAATACAGTTGGCAATTGCTACCACAAGTTCACATTATGTATACCACTTCGTAGATATTAAATGTGTTTATACAATAAAAATAATTAACATCAAGCATGAGTTGTGCTGTGTGTTCATTTATATGTTATTTATTCTTACTGACAAATAGGATGCTGGGAGGTGACCCTGAGGGAGAGCTTGGGGTTTGTTGAGCTCAGTTGCAAACTGTGTGTCACGCTGCATGTTCACATGTTTCCCTTCCAACATGTGTGGGCATTGATTTTTTGCTTTTCTCCCAGGGGTGGTGTATGTGTGATGCACATTTGCAGGTATGACTACACTGGCCTCTTGATACCATAGCCGTTGATGGCTTCGGACATGCAGTTGCAGTCATCAGTTGTCTCTCCAGCTGCTGGCCGGCTCTCCGGCTGCTTGCCAGTTTTGTTTTGTATTATTGGTTGTTGTATGATTGGTTGTTGTATGATTGGTTGTGTGTTATCAGTCATACTTGCTTGACATGTTAGAGTTAGTTTACCCTCACCAAGCCTTCAGTGGGCTGGTAAGTGTTGCTGTTTTTTTCTTGTTATTCTGTTGTGATTGTGCCAGGTCTTGGTGGGGGGTGGTCATTGGCAACTTAACTTTAAGCATTGTCCAGTCACATTTGGGGTTTTTATTATTATATTTATTATTATTTTATTATCCCCTCTCCCTCATTGGGTAGCACAAATGTCCCATAGATCTTTCCTGGCATTACCCATTATACCTCACTCTTGTACAATCATACCAGATGACCAGACAATGGTATTAATATTTCATCGAATACCATCTCAGGAGCAGGAAAAATTTCACTGCAAATTCCAGGCAAATGTGTACAAGTCGGCTGCGCAATTTTGATGCTTTCTATATAATTATTTACTATAATACTATTAAATTTTTGAAATCTCCAGTCAGGAATATTGTGTACAAAAAAATGTTTCAAAACATTGTACAACTTGCAGCCAGACTGTCCAAACAAGATATTTTCTGTGTAGACTACTTTGAGCATGAAATCTCAATTCTGGGCTCCATTTGTGCCAAGTACAAGATGAACAATAGCCGAATTCATATTAGGGACGGGAAACTCGTCTTAGATGGGAAACTCGTCCGCGAAAACCCGCCTGAATATGAATTTAGGGACGGATAAATTCGAATTTAAGACGAGTTTCCCGTCTAGATGGATTCCCGTCTAACTTTCCCGTCTGTTTAGATGGGTAAGTTAGACGGGAAAGTTCGGACGGGAAACTCGTCTGCCCCCGGATTCATATTAGACGAGTTTCCCGTCTAAGACGAGTTTCCCGTCTAAGACAAGTTTCCCGTCCCTAATATGAATTTGGCTAATTATAACGCTGTTTCGAATCGTACAATATATAAAATGATCATTGACCTCGGTTTTAAAATAATAGACAAATGTACTCATATTTGTAATTTAATACTGTACAATGACTAGCCTATTAAATAGCGGCTGCATGTGATAAATTTGTAAAGTATCATCAAACCTGCCAAACATTTGCTCTACATTCACCAGGGATAACATGACCACGGCATATTTCTCGAAGTCGTACGATATCGGTTTGTTTTGAAAGTGCACTTACTAAATCTGAATGCCTTGAAAAATAAAAAAATATATAAAAAATAAGCCCTCAAAATAGGAGAAATGATTATTATTAACTAAGTATTTTACTACAATGAATATTTCTCATAATATTTCATTCTTCGAAGTTCCTACCATCCTAATTCGCTAGTATCTGTATTATCTTCCTTATCACTGGAATCCTCCATCTTGAGTTATAGTGTGACGTCATAACAGACACGTTGACGAAATTCGATCATTTGTCGCGAATAATTATACGCATGCATGGTTTCCAATATGAAAAATACCAGATTTTGTCTGACATGATTTTGTAAAACATTTACCGTGGAAAAACAATTTGCGCATTCCCATTTGCCAACACAACCATAACAACGTATTTTTAGGGGCGGCGGAACAGGGGGCTGGAGGGGGCTATAGCCCCCTCCCCAGGGGCCGGTTGTTCAAAGGTGGGTAATAGCGCTAACCCTCAGCTCAGTTAAAATTTAACCGCCAGGGGAGAGGTATTTGAACTGTATTTTTGGCCCAGGGGTGGGAAATTTCACCGCAAAATATCAAAAAATTAAAATGCCCGAGTGGGGGGGGGGGGGG